CAACCCAACTCCATAATCTTGTGTTGCATCAAATATGCCACATGTGGACATGCATTGTCGTGGAAAAGAAGAACACCTTTCCGATTGATGAAGTGCTTGATTTAAACATTCCAGTTGCTGACTATAGATCTCTACATTGACAGTTTGCTGTGAAGTGAGGAGTTTGAAATGAATTACTCCATTGATGTCCACCAAATGCAAAGCATCACATTCTGCGGATGGAGTCCAAGTTTGGGGACGGAAGTAGTTTTTGTCTAGGACTGAGCCATTGTTTTTGGAGTTTAATATTCACATAGAGAATCCATTGTTCATCACCAATGACAATTCTATCCAAAAATGATTCACGTGCCAGAAGAGACGAAGAAACGTTCAGATGTTAGAAACAATGATCATCGGAGAGTTTGTGAGGCACCCAAACATCTTCTTTATGGAGTTTTCTCATATTCCTTAGATATTTATGTATTGTTTCATGAGAGACATGCAATTTCAGGGCCATTTCACAAGTTTCTTCCCTTGGGTTAGACTCAACAAGAGTCTTCAGAGCATCAATATTAATTCCAACATGCTGGACCCTGCCATCACAGTTTTTAAGGCTAAAGCCACCTGAACGAAATTTGCTGAACCATCATTGACACTTACGAATATTCAAAACATTTCCATAAACTTCTTTGTGGCTACAGTAGCATTGTTTCCCTTCTTGTATTAAAAGAACATTACATGCTGATTGTGTGCCTCATCGTGTGTTATCACTATAAGGGATTAGAGGATACCAAACTTTACACATCATATAGGCTACACTAACGTGACATTTAGGTGGTTTGTTTAACTATTATATGTGATTATAAAAGGATTATAAAATATTGCTTGGACTTTTACAAACACTTAGGTATGTGACAACATACTTGCATGGGTCGTATGCCAAATACCACTTGTATAGCTTTCAACAGTTGCTCTTCCACTGACCTTTGTCCTTTGGGAGAAGTTTATAAACAAGACTCTTTTGTCATTTCTATAAACCTAAACCATACGAATTATCATGTTTACTCTTTCTGCTTTAGCTCCAATGGACTGATGGTTTCTTGAATTACTGATGATGATAAACCAAGCCCTCATTAAGGTAGTTTGAGGCCCTGGCACACTTATTTTTTTGAGGCCCCTTGAATAGGGTACAAGCAAATTAGAAGTTAATTATAATTAATACACATTAAGTAAATTAAAGAATATGAGCTAATTATTTGAAGTACATTAGAATATGATGCATCTAACTTTAAAGGATGATATATATAAATTAAGCTTATAATAATAATAATAATTTACTTGTACAACACGGTAGTAATAATGAATTAGATACACAAAAAACAATATAGCTATTGTACAAAATTACAGAAGTATGTCAAAACATTATCCCAAAATCGTTTTTTTCCTTGCTTTGGCAGAAACAAAATCTTTAATTATATCTTCATAATCTGTTTGCCTAAGCAATGTCCTTTCTATCATGAGCAAGGAATGGGCATTTAAGCATTCATTTAACAGCAAAGCATGCAGTTCATTTTTTACTCTAGCCAAATTTTATATGCAAAACTTCTGAGTTCCAGATAAACTAATTTCACCTTCAGAAGCCTCGTCATTTGCCAGCTTTCTTTTCTCTTTCCAGAAATCTCACTCCTAAACTGTTCTTCTACTACATTTGAAAGCTGATGAGCTTCAATTCTGATTTTTCTACAAGGTACAATCACTAGGACTAACAGCTCACGAGTAGCATGAGCTTTATGTAACTTGCTTCATGTTACTGCAAATTTTGACACTTCTTATGGTGGGAAATTTAAAAATCATGGTCCAAAAGGTAATAAAACAATAAAATTTAATTATAAACAGTTGTATAAGATTAAGAAATTTTAAACTATTTAGTTTAAAGAAATGTTGTTTCCTGCTACAATTTGAAGTAATTCTAGAAAGAAAAAATGGTGATTTAGATTTATTTTGTATTTTTTATGGTGGTGATGAGATTGGTCAAATTGATTCAGTCTGTATTGAGTAAGAATAGAACAAATAACAGATAAAATATGAAGATTTATTGAAAAAAGAGAGAGTTAAACTGACAGTCCGGATCATCAGTAGGAGCCCTTGACTGCTTGGAACCCTGGCACAACAGCACCATAGTTAATGTGGCCCTGTGATAAACTATTTAACTTTCTTCACTACCACTAGCATGCAACTGGTAGCAAGTCATGGAGTAGCTTATTTTTCGTCTTGTAAAATTGCACCTTTCTAAGCTTTATGGATGAGTTCAACACTACAATTATCCATTTCTTTAAAATGCTAAAATTTCATGCCTTGTATGCTTTTAAAATTTTGAAAAATTAGGACTTTTAATGCTAAATCCTGTCATGCAACCCTTCTAGAATGGTTCAGTCTTAAGTAATATTTGTTCTGTATATTCACAGGCATGGGGAATGCCAGAAGGAAGTTGATTGGACATGCAAATTGTGAACAATCCTATGTTGTTAGAATAACTTTTCTAATTTTTCTGTTTGACAAGTTTATTTCTAGTGAATAAGTCCTGAACTGCCTCTTGTAGATGCTGGTGAGAAACAGGATTCCTTGGTGAGGGGAAGGCAATGGGATAAGGAGACAACAGGGATGGGGAATGGAAGTGAAGGGCCAGATCCTCTGAAAGAACATGCAGGACCCATGGATCTGTTGTAAATAGTGTCCACATATGGCAAAAATGAAAAACCTGGCCCCAACTCTTATTATTATTTTCTACTATTGTGTGTTTATGTCTCTAGTTAGGCTTAAATAAGATAACAATGGCTATTAATAACAGATGAAGGTTTTAATTTCATTGCTAAGTATTTTGGTTGAAATTGTTTTACTCTTTAAGACAACTTGACACACATTTCGGGAATATTTTTTTCTAAAAATTAAAAGCAATTACTATAAATTTAAATTCAAGTTTCTAAAACACCCAAGTAAACTCCATACTTGATTTAAGTTTTCATATTAAAATTCACAAAAAATATAAATATGCCCTTTTGTAACCTTTTAAATATAATAATAAACTTTTTTTTTCTTTAACCTTGTGGCTCTGTTTTTCATCATTCTCATTCATGTGTTTGGCCCAACTTTCTTCATCCTTTTTTCTTCTTTGATCAAGGACCTTACTAAAGAAAAATATGACTTCTTCATGAAAACTCCCATAAAAATTCAAAAACTATTTCAAGTTAACAAAACCCTGCTTTTCTGATATATTTTATAACAGCCCTGATGTTAACACTCTAAGAGAAAAAATGTTCAATAAGTTCATTTAAACTGAAAATTAAAGCATTTGATAATGAAAATTTAGTTTATTTTTTTCAATAAAAAGTTGTCTAAAGCCTTAATAAAACATAAATAATATTATAAAGTTAAGAATAGCTTTCTGACATAATTTTTACTGGAGACAGGTTTCAATCTATGTATGGCTGTAGTTTCCTTAATTCTGAGAACACCAGAGTTATAGTAATGATGTTAAAATGCTGCAAGCCAACCCACACTTGACAGGAAGACAGATGATGTTTTACTATAGCTGTGGTAAGTATGAGAACACCAAACTCAACAGCAAAGATACAACAGCTACAGGATTATATCAGTCTTCATGTCAGTGTCTATGGTATATTTTCACTAACACAGCAAATAACACACATATGAGTATACAATTTCATATTGTATAGTTTAACTGTGCAATAATAATGTAGAGAAGTACAAGCAATCTGTCGTGTATAAATATGAGATTGCATTTAAATTACTTTTATAATCAGATGTTATAATCACCATTCTTATGTAAAAAGAAAATTAATAAAAATAAGAAATTAAGAAGTCAAAACTGTTACAATCCATGTGTGGAGACACAATACTAAAACTATTAACACAATAAACATAATTAAGTTCTAAACATCAGCAATTAATACCAAAAATAATTGCAACCTTTATTGCAATGTTTATGCTTACCTTTTTTCTTCTGGTTGTGTAGAATTCGTAGCTTCAAACACAGTCTTTCTTTTATAATTCTCTGGGTTTTATAACGAAAAATAAACATAAAAAAACATAATATTTTATATAAAACTGTTATCAAATACCTGGGAAACAACTGTTACCAAGATTATTGTAATTTTAAAAATACATAGCTCTTGTTGTTTCTGCTAAAACAGTAGAGATTACAAGCTAATAATTTTAAAATCACTTAAGACAAACCTCCTTACATTAATAGATTTTGTAGTATTGACCAAGTTAACCTCTTCAGTTTCAATGATGCAACTTAAAGGAGAAATGTGTAAGGAGACAAATGAAACTTTAATATCTGTAGTAACTGTTGTAAGAAATTACAAATTACAGGGTATAATGTGTAATAGTAGAATTCCAAAATTATGAGTTAATAAACTAGAATAAACATATGGATAAGACATTTTCAAAAAAAAATAAACTATATGCTTGAATAGGGGTTCACAAACAAATTTTTGTAGATTTTTAGAATAATCAACATATTTACATATATATATATATATATATATATATAGACAACATACAATTTAAGGGCAACAAGGCACCTTTTTGTCCGATCTGGATTATCTCACCATTAAACTAAGCTTTAAAATAAAAATAAAACACTCAAAGTCAGTCTTTGTCTTTCAAATATTTATCAAGCCTTCCCTTAAACTCCCTTAGATTTACTGCATCCACCAAATCTGAAGGCAACCAATTTCAAAGGACAATCATCCTGTTAGAAAAACATAACTGTCTCAGTTGAAGCTGACTCCTACCTTGCCCAAATATATATTTATGTCCCCTAAGTACAAAAAATGATGATTTATCAATACTATCAATTCCCTTAATAATCTTAAACTCCTTAATAAGATTTTCTCTGATACTTCTTTTTTCAAGAGAAAATGATTTCAGACATTTTAACCTTTCCATACCAGATATCATCCTACTAGCCCTCCTCTTAACTGCTTACAACATTTCAATTTCCTTCCTTTGGTAAAGCACCCAAGACTGAACACAATACTCCAAATGTGTTATCTAGCCCAGGAGCTTTATAATTTGTTAAACTTTCCAGCTTTTTTTTCTCAACAATCTTAAAATGAACGTTATAATCTTGTTTCCATCTAGCAACTGTTCAGGATAAGAAGTATTGCTTACATCTTCATTAGTAAAAATTGAACGAAAAAGAATTTAATAACCCAACTATCTCATAATCACCAGATATGAGCCTTCCTGTGTCATCCCTTCAAGGCTCTACTTTAATCCAAACATTTTGCTTACCCTTTAATGTATTTAAAGAATTCCTTACAACTAACTTTTAATTTTTCAACTAGCCATTTCCATATATGCTTTTCAATTTCTTAATTTCCTGTTTGACCAACTGTCTTGGTATTCTATAATCCTCTAAATCCCCCATCATAGCAGTCAATTTAAATTTCTTAAAACTCTAATGCTTTTCTTTAATTTTATCCTTTATACTCTTGTCAGATAACCTGGTTTTTACTTGCAGCCACCTCTTCTTGTTTTTATGAGGAACATATCTATCTTGAATATTTAAAAATGCATTTTTAAACTTTTTTCCATATTTGATCAGTATCCCTAATTAATTCAGTTGCCCAATTCACAACAAATAATCCTTGTTACTCCCTTCAAAAATTAGCTTTTTGTTTAAATCTGTATCAACAATCTGATTATTTCTTATCTCCTCATGCAGCAAAACATCAAACATAATTGAGTAATGATCACTTGCAACCACATGTTCCCCAAATTTCCACCCTGTCAACCATTTCTATATTAAAGTTAACAATGTATCTAAAATTGCACTGTTTGTAGTAGGTTCCCTGACCAATTAGTGAAGAAAACCATCTTGAACAGTTTCTACAAATCTGTCTCCTTCGTGAATTGATTTTAACATTTTCCAGTCTAATATACATGCCTGAAATTAAATTACCCCATAACCATGACCTCATTAACAACCAAATTCTTTATTGGGAGTTTCTTACTAATTTCTATATTTTCATCTGATAGTCTGTAATACATTCCAACCAAAAGTATTTTCCCTTTAGAGCCACTAACAGAAACCCAAACAGATTCAACCTCACTGCTATTAGCTTTGATATCCTCAACTTGAACAGGAAGTAACTTAAATTTTACACATAAAGCCAGTCCTTCCCTCTTTTTAGTACTCTAACACTAATAAATAATCTATAACCCCATATTTCACAGAAATTTCTGTCATCAAAATAGTCTACATTTAACCAAGTCTTAGTTATTCCTGATACATCAAAATCCTTCATTATGACCAGTGTTCTAAAGTCTTCTATATTATTTCTTATAGTTTAGCATTACAATAGTAACAGGTTAGCCTACTATTAAAAAATACTTCTGAACTTTGTTCCTACATTATACTTTCCTCTACATTTTACTTTTTCTTCAAAGAAAGACCAGCAGGAAAGGTGTTAGTCAATAGCCTCCATTTCCAACTGTTAGGCTACTCTTGTCTGACCAAATAGTGGGATCTGACTTGTAGATTCACAGTTCAGGAACACTAACAGTTTGGCCATGTCCAATCCAAGCAATTGAGACATAGACAATACAACTGTTGAGTGTATGTGTAGCATATATATATATATTTGTAGAGAGAGAGAGGAAGACTGATTGAGACACGAATAACATACTTGTGATTTTCTATTTTTACACAGTCACTCTTCACGGTACAAATCACAGTTTTAACATCACGGACTGGGATACATTGTTTTATCCTTTCAACTTTGATTCAAAAAACTTTCTGAAAAGCAATGGAGGGCAAGTGCTTGCTGAAAGATCTCTTTTCTTATTTGTATTAACATGGCACACATTACCACACTTCACATATAGTGTTACAGCATAACCTGTCTTCTGTATGGTGACCACTTTGATACGAAATACTGATACTAGTTTTTATTATGGTAATTAACTTCTTACATGCACCTTTTAAAGATATATATCTCATACCTTAAAGTTCCACTACTGTTGCCTCATCTGACATCTTAGACACTACTGTTGTCTCAACCGACTAACATCTTAGATTATCAAGTTTAACAGAACGTTCTTTTAAGAAAAACAAAATGATTTTAGACAAATGTCAGGTTAAAAAAAAGTTTTAAATAATTACTTATCACTTTGAATCACATTGTATCTGATAATAAAATATGGCATAGCATGATGTCATAGTAAAGTAAGATTGTTTTTAAAATATTTGATCTGAAACATGACAAAATAATCTTTTTATTGTATTTTTTAAAAACAGAATTATACATTTTAGCAAAAAAAACCTTCCCCATCTATTAGACGACTTCTAAACAAATTCCACCCACCATCAGTAATCATAATAGAGGCAAACTACCAAATAAGACAAATGTCTTATACAAATGAATGGCAATTTATGTATATGGTGCTTGTAATACCACAACAAGTAACCTGTATTAATACACATACTTAACAATAGGTAACATGAATGCTCTCTTTTTAATGATTTGATAAGAAACAATTATTATCTTTCAAATATTGTGTCTTTTGAATGTGTAAGAATTAATTAGTAATGTTATTTATTCTTTAACAAATATAAATGTTGATTACTTGTGGTGAATAAAGAAAATTACTAACATTTCATAATAAAATACTCATATTACTGTAAATTTTTATTCAGCAATTATAAAGTTCAGTAACATAGTTTCAACTAATCACAACTAGCCTGTAACCTATATGAATTTTTACAGTACATAAAGTTTAATTCACAGGAAACTGTCGTTTTTTATAATTAGCCTTCATTCTAGGTGTTTTCTCTCTCCTTTCTGAACACTATCTATATAAGCTCTCAAGGAAAACAAGAATTGTTACGGTGCTGACTTAATTATTATAAACACCAAAAGAAAGATTATAATTGTATTTGTAATAGAACATTATGAATATCCTTATCAGATTTTTTAAAACTAAACTCTTGTTCTAGACAGTTGGAAAGTTGAAAACTTAGAATAAGTTGTGTGTTCTACGTGCATGTAGTGTTCACAATACTAAACATGAACAAATCTTTTCATAAAAGAAGGGTTCAAGTCCATTGTGAGCCATTACCTTTATAACAAAATAGATTATTTTAATTTTTTAGAATTTATTTTTTGTTCTGCCTTTGATAAAAGCTATGCAGTTCATCTTTAACACATATAATTATGACTTTTTTGTCATTTTGTAGCATTTTAATTATTTGTTTTCATTTTGATATGAAATATGAAGTTTACTCTTCACACTGATAGTCATGACAAAATGAACATTTTCACATATTTATCCTCCACTTGTTTCATATAGCTAATAGAAAATGACAGTTAAAACTCTGAATAAACTACAGAATTTTTATAACTTCTTCAGGCTTTTTACTCTCTATCATTGCTAAATGTTCAATTTATATGTTCATTCAACTTGCACACTTTCTAAAAGGTATAAGTAATTGTCTATGTAAATAAAACAAATTTTCAGTTTTTCAAAGGTAATTCAAAAATTATTATACTTTTTTGTAATGAAAATAAGTGTGGCATCCAATTACTACAAAATATATATATATAAAATTCAAGATTATCCATTCAGTCCATTTTACTCCACCATATAGTAACCTAAGTTAATTTAGGTATGTGAATAATGTTATGACAATTTGTCAAATTCATTATTCGATATTATTATTATGCAGATCGACTGTCCTTATCAGCTCTTATCTACTTAAATGCCTTGGTAATGAGCCATAGTTGACTGATTCAAGCCAAGGTGGAAATTGGGGAACATATGATTGCAAGTGATCATTGCTCAATTAGGTTTGATGTTTTACTGTGGAGTACAAAATATTTAAAGGAAAAGGATGCAGCTGATGATATAAAAATTATGAAACAGCCAATCCAAAGTCCTAATACCAATTCAATTCAAAACTTGTGTCACTAGCTGAAAAGTAATATTGCAAAAAGATAGACCAAATAATCTAAGGTAACTGTAGGAGACTGTATTGCCAAA